GGCCGCCCTGTGGCCGCGCACGGTGCTGGGGAAGTTGTTAAGTGAGCGCAATCAAAGCGCCCCGTTCTCCTGGGCTGGCTTAACACCTTCGATTCCTCCATGCGCGGAGTGTGCAATTAGGTTTATTAATTTATTTTCTTTCCGACTCCGAGAGCTCAGTCGCTTTTTCAATATAGAAGATTATGATTCTTTCTCCCCTGGAAAGGCATTATGAGATCTGGTGGGAATATTTTGCTTTCTGTGTTTTGGAGAACACAAAACAATATTTTGCTTTTTCATTAATGCCTAGTTAGTGGGCTAGGTGGGTTTATTTTTCATACTGTTTTAACAGACACTGGTAAATTCACGCTGTCAAAACAGAGAAAATTTATGGGATGTAGGAGTAATGTCTTTAATTTTGTCTCATTTATTCCCTTTGTCTGTTGTCTTGTAAGCCCAACTGCAACTGCTGTTCTGAGTATCCACTAAATAGCGGCAAATGAAGGAACAATAGTTGTGTTACCAGGGCCCTGGGCACTGCCCACAGGCTCAAAGGATACGATTTCCATCAGTTTCTACATCTCTGTGGTTTCAGACCTGCCCTTTGGGGTGAGAAGAATTGCTCCATCTGGGACTGGGGAGATGAGCACTGCTTGGGATGGTGAGGCATTACAAGCAATTTCAGCAGTGACAGACAGCCAGATCGGGACCTTTATGTTTTGGATTCAGCTGGTGGCTATGTCCATGGGAGCATTTTTGAAATGAACCTCCCAAACATCCAGCCCTGACACACATGCACTTTGGTTTGCATCCCAGTGTGTTTTCAAACTGTGCACGTTTCTTTCACATCCCACCAAACTAGATGTACCCTGTGTGGCAGGGTTGGATCAAGGCTAGTTGAGCAAATGTCCAAAATGTATTGAATGTAGATGTGATTTCTGGGCACTGCATGTTTCCCCCTGCAGTTCCTCTCCTCAATAGCTGCTGTTGGACAAAAGAGGGCCTTGCTTCATAGTCAGGGCGTTGTGAAATTGCTTTGCTAATTAAAGATGGCCATGTGTGAGAGTATCCTAAAACGAGGAGCTAAACTGAGCATAGAAGTGATTCCTATTTCCATTGGAAACTTTATCTCAGCACTGTATCTTCCTATCTCTGGACCACTTATACTTTGTTAAAATGTTTGGCAGCCCTGTGTTCAGGGCCAAGTTTCTTTCTGAATCTTCTGCAGTGTGTGGAAAGATGTGTCTGTGCATGAGTGGAAACTCAGTATGGCCCAGGCAATCACTTGTGTGTTCATGCACATCCACAAAGATGTGCAGCTCTCTATCATGTTTTCTCTTTTTCTTGTCTGCTTCATTTCACCTCAGTGCTTAATTTTCTGCACCTTGTCTGCTGCTTTAATCTCTTTGATTTCTTTGAGCTTCCTTGCCATGACTGCTCCATGGAATCCATACCGTCTGTTCAATCTGCTGCTTTCTTGGCTAAGAAGCCTTTGGTAAGTATTTTTGTATTGTAAACCACATCCATAATGGCTTACTGCACACGTAGGTAAGGAATTGGGTGGAAAATCCACAAAGAATCTACAGTGCCTATATATCACTTTGACTAGTGCCTAAAATTATGGTGGCTAAACCTTCTTCATGCTTCATCTCTAAACCTAAAAGCACCTGTGCGTGCACATACACTGAAGTCAATAGGGAAGCCCACACTGTGAGTGTGATTCCTCTCTGGGATCACTCCCAGGTTCCAGTCGTTTTCTTGTTCAGATTGCAGAAGTATTTCTTCTTTGTAAATTCCCTTTTGGAGAGAAAGCTCCACCCCAGACAAAACACAGCTTTGCTTCTGGAGTGAGCTCATTCTAGCAGCTCCCTTATCTGAGTCCCTTCAAAGACTGCAAGGAAGCAGGGTTCAATCTGTGTGAGATCTGTCTCAGCTCTACAAGAGCCCTCCAACATTTTCACAGCTGAATTTCACATCCATATGTTCTCAATCTATTGTTGAATTCAACAACACATCTACAGGTTCCTGACATAAAAATACTGTTCTGGTGGGCCTTCATATGGCTTGTATGGTATTTGGTATGCCTGAAACTTTGATAGCTCCTTTTAAGGCAAAAATACCTGCCATGCTGAAGGGCTCTGTGGGAAGCCAAAGCTGCTTGGCCATATAGTCCATTGATGAATACAGAGGGGACTGCACCTTTTGGCTTGGAGACTGTGGGACATCTATGGAGCAAGTGACTTCTATTAATCTATGTAGCTGCTATCATCCAGGGGTCTTTGTAGTGCTAGTTGTGGTTGCCTTAAACTTAAAGCTAATTTTGAGAATTAGATGTAACAGTTATTTTTTGTCCCAACAGTTATGTTGTTGCTCCAACTGTGACCTTACACATATTTTACATCCAGAGATTGAAAAGGTGATATTGATTTGAAATCACAGTTCATCCTTACTTGGATATGACGTGCTGTGGTCACACTGTTATTGTTATTAAAAGATATCCTGGATGAGAAAAAGAAGTCTTGCTATGTGGTTTTTTTTTTCTTAGCAGTGTTTCTGAGTAAGACAAGGTTTAGTGTCATATTCTGTAAGCACATTCTGTTTCACAGGTATTCAGCCAGCTGATGGCTATGACACCCTTGAATTATTTAATAGCTTCTATTTCTTTTTTGCAGTAGAGTTTTATGAGAACTGAGATAAACTATGCTCCATTTAGCATGTAAGCACTCTATATCATAGACCTAGTGAACCAGAGTGCTTAAACACCATAGTGGAATTAGAGGCACTGGAAAAATAAACCACTTCCTAGTGCAGTCCATGGAAGTTCTCCCATGGAGTTCTGTAGAAATCAATTATGTCCTTAACTGAGGGAAGTGTATGACCTGAGAGTCACTTGATGGATGGTGTCCTTCCATGACAGCCATAGCTAAGTCCTCCAAGGATATTTGGATTCAGAATAGTGACATTTCTTTTGTGACCTCTTTGTCCTCCAGTTGAAGCTGCATCCCCATGTCAGGCACCAAGGTCCTGTAAATCCAGGAATGCCACCTAAAATGAGATTCGTCCAACCTGGCATGCCAGCACTAGATGGTAGGGAATGGGACAGAGAGTTAGTTGGAATGGTGCTTCCTTTCACTTGTGTCACCCTAATACTCTCCCAAGGTTAAGTGCTTTAATGAGGTTGGATTTTCTCACATACAAGAGGAAATGGTGCCACGTCAGTTAATAAAAAGCATTAATATTTAAGATTGCTTCCTTGGGGTATGAAAGACCAAGGCTGAAGTCTCTTATCTCACTGAAGGAATTTGAACTGATATTTCCCAGGAGAATACTGGAAGCCACCAGACTGTGAGCTCTTTTTGAGCAAGTCTTGCTTTCTCTGTCCCACTGAAGCTGTTCAGCTTTGCATGGGCTCATTAAATACCCATTCAATCTGTCTGAAAGAAAAGAAAAGAATGACAACATCTCTTAGATCTGATGCAAGAAGGGGATGAGAGTGCTCTGAGGTCCTCTCTAATGAATATTCAGATGTCTCACAATCATGCAGTATCTTCATCAGGAGCCATTCAGACAGACTCACCAGAAAGATCTGAAAGTTTTGGTTTTAGGATGTGATCATGAGAGAGTTTTTATCACGTCTGTGCTGGAAGAGATTGGACCTCTGAGTCTCACATGTCCAGCATGAGTGGTGTAACCCAGATGCTATTGGATATCAGCTCCTCTTGGTTTCTGTTGTGATAGAGCCCTCTCACACTGCTGTTTCTGCCGGGCCAGGCCTCATGAAGGCAGAAGTGAGAGTTTGAGGATCTGTGGGAAACTCTGTTTGAGAATCTGTGACATGAGTTTGGGGATCTGTGGGAAACATGCTGGCACTACTCAGTGGTTCTGTTTGTGTCTCCAGGGGAAATATCAGGAATTTTGAGAACCAGAAAATTTATGTACCTCA